GCTCGAGGAGGGCCTTCATCGAGGGGAGCTGCAGCCGGACTCGTCGGAGTTGGCCTCGATGCCTTGGACGCGCCTGAGGGCCTCAGGGCTTCGAGCACCTGCGTCTGCTGGGCGCTCCTCCATTAATTGATCCAACCTGGAGCCTTCTCTCTCTACTCTCTCTCTCTCTCTCTAAAAATAGGTTTTTAGAGAGAGAGTGAGATTTATGAGGAGCGAGAAGGAAGAAGACGACTCTCTTCGCTAGCAGCTACTGGTCTCCGGATCAGATGGCGGGGGGTGTACACGGTTTTTTAGCTCTGTGCGGGTGTGGGGAAGTGGGACCCGCGGCGGACCGGGTGAGTTTTACGTCGTTTATAATTATGGCGTGTTTTATTATTATTATTTTTTTTAATCGAGGGAGAAGACAAATTACCGTCCTCGTGTGCATATGAGAATTTTGAAGAAAGAGGGAGAAAAAAAAAAAAAAAAAAAAAGGGAGAAAAGGAAAAATAAGGATAATTAGTTATTAAATTGATTAACTGGGAAAATGAAGGGAGAAAATTATCGCAAGTATGTTCTTTCTAGATTAAAAAATTCATGAACTCGCCGTGTGATATAATATGTTATCTTCTTAGGACTTCGGTCAAATTCAACGACTAACAAAGAGATCCGTAAGGATCCGTTTGGTTGGTTTATTTTGAAGGGGAAAATTGACACGATGTTCAATCTGTGACAGCTTTTAGCCACTTTCTTCTAAAAAAGGGGCAACCAAACGGGCCTTAACTTATTCAATATTTGGTCTCATGGTTTTGGGCCCAAATATAATTTCTCAAGTGTCATAAATTGGCTGATGGAATGGAGTGAATTTGAGTTTCATATAAATTTAAATTCGATTCAAGTAATATATATAAATATCTATACGAATGAAATAGTGGATCAATACGAACAATCTACAATTTAATTCAACTCCCACCAACTTTAAATTCGTATTCGGACATGCGTATAACTCATCTGTATAGGATGCTATCAATTGGATTTTATTCAAAGGCATGTTTCTTACAAGGATAAATTGATTTCTCAACGTTCATCTTCTTTCAATTTCCACTCATAGAGTATGGTTTATTAAATAAGTTCCTTGGTATAAATAATTTGTTGTAGTGGAGATCTTACATAATATTTAAATGTTATCTGTAAATTTTGGGATAAAATGTTATAAAAGAATACACCAATATCAATGATTTTCTATTAATCACCATGCTAAATTGATTACGATTGAGCCGGCAAGATTTTGGGATCTTACATAATATTTAAATGTTATCTGTAAATTTTGGGATAAAATGTTATAAAAGAATACACCAATATCAATGATTTTCTATTAATCACCATGCTAAATTGATTACGATTGGTATAAATTGATTTTGGGATATCATGTACGGATCTTGTGGCTAAGCATATTCGTTACTGACTTCATGGGTTTAATTTAATCTGATTACGTGCTCGAAAACAAGTTTGTTAAACTTCCGTGTAACTCCGTTAGGAGTCCGACCGAAGATTTGAGCCTTGAGAAACAAGCATGAGACTCTTTTCTCCTTCATTTTTTTTAAAAGTCAGGTAGAGTAACCTAACCAACCAAGTCCTCAACAATACTCTGTCTCAAAAACAAAGGGACAGAAACAGACAAAAAACAAGAGGACAAACAGTCAACCGACTTAGCTAGGAAATTAATGAGCAACACCATTACCGGTGCGTTTTACATAAAAAACTTTAGAGCAGCCAATAACAGTCAAACCAGCGCGAACTTCATCTGCAATAGGAGCCAAGGAAGTAAAAGGAGAAGGAGAGTCCACTAAGGAGACAATTCTTTGAGAGTCAAATTTCACCACTGAAATCCTCCAGTTCATACGCAGAACAAAGCGAATGCCTTCCAAGACAGCCAACAGCTCCGTATGATCCACAGACATATGACCCCTGAGCCTCATAGAGTAGCAACCAATCACGTGTCCATAGTGATCCCGAATAACACCTCCCAAACCAATAATATCTCCTTCCAGAGGAACAGCAGCACATGTGTTGAGCTTCAGCAAACCAGGAGCATGGGGATACCAAGCAGAAGGCCATTTGGAAGGGGTGGCAAAGTCACGGGAGAGACCTCTAACTCTATCCACTTCCTCCACAAAACAAAGAATACGAGTCACCAAGACCGAAGCCTCTCTAACACCACCAACATGAGAGCGCATATTCCTTTCCCCCTATATAAACCACATGGTTGTGAAAGCCAAAGCCAGAGAGTCCCCATATAAATGCTTTTGACTTATCGTTTTGTAACAAGTTTGTTCATTTTGATAGTGTTTACACCTTATGAAAATTTATTGAAGCACATCAAGGGATTTTGGAGGGGACCCGACAAGCTTTGGCGGCTTCCTCTTCAAGTTCACATGGAGCCTCATCGTGCACACAGCCACTAGACGATTGCCCTAGTATAGTAAGCGATTCTGATGTTCTCGTCTGGTTTTTATCAGTCAACAGATGTTCTCGTCTGGTTTTTACTGAAGGCTCTGTTTTTGTGACTGATGAACTATCAGTCGACTGATGAGTTTATCAGTCGACTGATGAGAGCTTGTTTTCTTCATCCTATATATACCCCATACTATTTCACTTCTGAATTAACCAAGAGAGGAGTTTTAAAGAGTTTTTACAAGTTTGTTTAAGTGTTTTAAAGTTTGTTTAAGGGTTTGTTGTGAAGAAATTTTCACAATGGTTTGAGGAGATAATATTTGGTGTTTGGGCGTTCAACTCATCTCCCTCTATCTCTTGTCATCATAGAGAAGTGTTTCTAAATTCAATTCTAGCTTTATATATTTGTTTGATTATCATTTTTATTAAGCTAGATTTCATATTGAGTTTAGTTTTGTTATTACTCATTATTTACACACACCCACTTAAGCTTAAGTATTTCATACATAGTATATTGGAGTTTTGAGAGTGTATCATTGAGAGTGAGCTTACATTGAGTTCTCATCTATTGTAGAGAACAAACAATTTGTATTTGCACTTTATTTGTGAGATCATATTATAATATACATGTACACCAAGAGGAGTGTGTGGTGAGAGACGTGGTCGGTTCTAAGAGGAGTGTGGTTGGTGGTAAAGGCTAGAGAGAGGTGGTAATTCTGAGCACTGAAGGAGGGTGAGACGTGAAAGGCTAACACTTGATGTTGTATTGTGAGAGATTGTGAAATTTTTCGGTGAGCTAGAAAACTGAATTGTGAGGTGTAAACGTTTTGGGTGAACGTTGGAAACCCATTGTGATAGTGGATTCTCCCTGGGAGTGGGGAGCGGAGACATAGGTCAGAAGGACCGAACTCTGTAATCATTTTCTTGTGTTTGTATTGCTCATTTGTCCACTATCTTGTTTATATCGTTGCATGTTTATTTGCCCTCTATTTATATATCCTTGCATATATCTTGTTATATATAACATTTGCTAGGATAATTTGTTAGTAAGTTTTAAATTGGCATTAATATCAAATTAGATTAGCATATACCCTATTCACCCCCCTCTAGAGTAATTTCATAGTTCACATGAGATTAGGATATGATATAATTATTATTATAATAGATTAAAATTTAAATAAAATATTCAAATTGTCAGGGGTAATATTGACCATGAAACGATTTTTCCCAATTCGTACTTTTAAATGGAATATGATTGTTTATAAAAAATAGAAAATAAAAAAAATATGTTGGCATACTCATTGCATTGCATGGGTGTACTCTATTAAACCCTTTAAAAACGTTTTAATTTACTCCGGTCTTTAGACGCATATTACCTAAACTTGCTGCAATTTTCGCTGCTTCATCATCTTCTTTTCTCTTCATTTAAATGATATTCTGTAGGGAGCTTTGTTACATAGAAAATCATATGTATTTCTATAATCCTTATCGATTTTCATTATTCGTAATTTTCAGGCTTGCCTTTGCTCCCATATTTGTGATAATGAAGTGTTTTGATGAATCATAAAAATAAAAATAAACATTTTCAAATTTCCTCTCTATCTTTTTTAATAGCTCAGAAGACTCCAACAGCTTCCCCAAAAATTTCTCCAAAATGGGGAATCAAATGTCATATTCTCCAAATTATTTTTGCTCCAACTCCAACCGCTTCCCCATTTTGAAGAATCATGCATTTATTACAATAATAAAAATATTCTACATCTTTGACTAATAAATAATAAATTATTTATTATTTTGAAGAATTCCCATTTTGACCAAATTATTTATTATTATAATGAGGAGATGGAGTTGTTTTTTGTGGGTTGAGTCTAGAAGAACGTGAAAAAGTGCTTCCCCAAATATTTGCAGAATGCTGCAGATTTGGGGAAGGCTCTCTATTTTTTCTCTCCTATCCTCATTTTAGGGAATGAGATGGGGAATCTGTTGGACCAAAAAAAAGCTCAAAATTCTCCATATTTTAGAATAACAAGAAGATGGGAAGCTGTTGGAGATGCTCTTAGAATACTACTCCAGCAAATCTTTCTCAACTACTATTCTTTTCCACTTTGGATAACTCCTCTAGCTATTGACAAAACCATTTTTTTTTGGGGGGCGGCGGCGGCGGCGGCTATGAGAATAAAAATAGAGCATTGCTTTGATGACCCAAAAATAGGAATTAACTTAATGTTTAAATTCTTAAATAATGAAAAAACATGGTGAAAATATAAAGGATAGTTTGGTCATTCCCCATTTAATTTGCTTTTCTCTCATCTCAAAAGCGTTTGCCTATACTCTTCCATACTTTTTTTTAAGTTCCCCTTTTTGCCAACTCCAATAAAACAACTTAGTATATTCTATTAATTTAAAAAAAACAAAAAATGTTTAAGAAGAATTTATGTGATCCAAAAATAAACTTGTCAATAAATAATTTATAGAAGTTTGCTATGTCTTTTCATAAGTTTCTCATTTCATGATTATACAAACATAATATTTCTATGTTAAAACTAATTAATTAAAGGTTTTTCTTT